GGGTCTTTATTTTGTAATTCAGCTTTAAGGCAGGTTGTGGTTTTTAGTTTGTGGATTTTTAAATTTCAGAACCAGGAAGACAGTGCTTCTAGCAACCCGTTTGCACTCCCCAACTCCGTCACACCTCCCTTACCCACATTTGCACGGGTCACCACTGCCTACGGGTCATACCAGGACGCCAACATTCCCTTTCCTAGGACTTCTGGGGCCAGGTTCTGCGGAGCAGGTGGGTCTCTTTGGTTCTTCGATTCTAGATTTTGAGAGGGAGCAGCTAAGAATGGCATAGATTCTGTATAAACATCTTCATCAGGAAATGTTTGCTTTTATTTCCGGATAACTCAAACAAGACTTTCATAGCAGTGTTGCAGGGTCTGATGCCCAGTTGGCGTCTGTGGACTTACCCTAATGCACCAGAATGGCGGTCTTAGCTTTCTTCATTCTGATGAACTTGGATTTGGGTCTTTACTCAGAGCCCTGATTCTTAGTGGGGGACAGCCCCTGCTAGGGAGGCTTAGAGTCCCACCGACGACTCTGCCCAGTCCACATACATCCTCCCTTCTGGACCCTGGAGTGCTGACCTTGGTTCCTGGTAAGGGTCACTGCAATCATGAGCATTGAAGCTTATGAAAATGTGCCTTACCCTCAAGTATACAGAGATAGAAGAAAGACTGGCTAGTCCTGCCTCAGGATTTCCCAGGTCCAGCTTGTTGACACTGATATGCTCACGTGATGTCTCCTTCTTCAGGTTACCTGGTATATTTCACAAGGCCCATGACAATGCATCGGGCAGTGTCTCCCACAGAGCCGACCCCGAGGTGAGTCCGGGAGATACAGAAGCCACTCTACGTACCCGGGGCCAGACGTGGGCAGACACCTGGGAAACCACTGAGTTTGTCTTTGAACAATGAATTTTAGTTCTTCAATGGGAGTTTTTAAACTCTCATTTTAAGATTTATTTGAGAAAGACTGAAGTCAGTTAAATTGCAAGAAAGCTGAGATTTCTGTTTTATGGTTATTACCAAACTATTAGAAGTAGCTTGATAAAAGCTATTGTCAAAACAAGGCAAATTCTTTTTAAATGTGCCTTTCCCCTATTCCTAGCATATTATTATTTGTTTTTAATTATTTTATTATTCAATTTAACATGAAGTAAAAGTAAAAAAAATAACAAAAAGACCATCTGTAGATTCACAACACTAATATGCCACTTCTTATATGACCAAACAATGTTTAATTTTAAAACATTGCATAAGCAGTGCATTGGGAAAACACAAATGTGCAAGTTTTTTTTGTTGTTTTTGAGACAGGATCTGGCTCTGTCACTCAGGCTGGAGTGCAGTGGTGTGATCATAGCTCACTGCAGCCTCTACCTCCTGGCTCAAGTGATCCTCCTACCTCAGCCTCCCAAGTAGCTGGGAATACAGGTGTGCACCACCATGCCCAGCTAATTTTTATATTTTTTGGTAGAGACTGGGTTTTGCAATGTTGTCAGGCTAGTCTCAAACTCCTGAGCTGAAGCAATCTACCTGTCTCACTCTCCTAAAGTGTTGGGATTATAGGTGTGAGCCACCATGCCGGCCTGGAAGTTTTAAATTAAAATGTCAAAGCCCTTCACTTCTTTTTCACTGTTTTAGGCAGAATCTTGCTTAACAACAGAACATGTTTCTGTCTAGTCATTATTTTTCTGTGCTTTAAAGAAAAGTTTTTCTTTATAGACAATCTAGTATAGCAGATAGGAATATGAACTTCAGAGCCAGTGTGCCCAGATCCAGATTTTGGCCCTGTCATTTTATGACCTTGGGCAAGTTACCTAAACTTCAGCTTCAGTTTCTTCAACAGTAACATGGGGATGATCATAGTACCCACTACCTTCAGTTGCTGGGAAGATTAAGTCCCTGTAAAAACATTTAAAACACCACCTGGCACATCCGAAGTGTTCCGTGTTTCCTGTTATGATTACTGGTTTTTAAAACTTTAGGATTATACAGTAGACTTCTGGTTCTGTAGTCTGGTGGCCAAGATATAATAACTTGCAAACCTCCCTGTTGCAAACCCTTGAAGGCATTGGATACAATATACTCAGCATAGTCATTGTTTTAGTCCATTCTCATGCTGCTATAATGAGGTGCCTAAGACTGGGTAATTTATAAAGAAAAGAAATTTAATTGACTCACAGTTCCACATGGCTAGGGAGGCCTCAGGAAACTTAAAGTCATGATGGAAGGTGAAGAGACACATCTTATATGGCGGCAGGCAAAAGAGAGTGTGTGTGTGAAGGAGATATTGTCAGGTCTGATAAAACCATCACGTCTTACGATAACTCACTCACTATCGTCAGAACAGCATGGAGGACACTGCCCGCCTGATCCAGTCACCTCCCACTATGTCCCTCCCTCAACACATGGGGATTGTGGGGATTACAATTCAAGATGAGATCGAGGAGGAGGCATAAGGCCTAACCATGTCAGTTATGAATGAATAGCTGAGTTAACAAGAAAGAAAGAGAACTGAATGACATGTGTGAGCAGACACTGCTGCTTTGCCAAGAGGTGGCCAGTCTCTGCAGTAACCCAGACCGATGTGACCTGGGCCCCAGGGGAACTGGGGTTAAGTACTAGGGAACACCTACATTACACCCAATTCCTTATTGGAGTAGAAAACATTCCCCTATTCTCAAAGGGAAACAAGGAATAATCTGGACTTTGGATTAGAGGGAAAAATGTTCCTATTAGAATGTTTTTCAACTGACAGCCCTTTACTGAGATAGTTTACAATACAAAAATCTGAAGCGTACAGCTAGGTGACCAACACTCATACTAAGATATAGAGCATTGTCCTCATCCCCAAAGGTTCCTGGTCCCTTTCCCCAGCCCTTCAGCACCCAGAGGACACCACTATGTTGACTTCTGTCATTGTAGATTAGTTTTACCTGTTCTTAAACTTCATTGAATGGAATCATGCAGCATGACCTGTTTTGTCTGGCTTACTTTGCTTAATGTAATGTTATTGACATTGATCCACATTGCTGCATGTGTCAGTATGTCCATTGTGTGAATGTAACATAGTTTGTTTATTCATTGTTCCTGTTGGTTGATATTTGCATCCTTTCCAGTTTTGGGGTCTTATGAGCAACGTGGATACATATGTTTATAAAAAAAAAAAAACGTGTATTAATTTCTGCACCTGAGGAGCGGAATTCCTCAGTCATTGGATAAATGTATGCTTAACTTGAGAAACTGCTCAAAAGTTTGTGCGCAGTGGCTGTGCCATTTACCCTGTCACCAGCAATGTTTCAGAGCGCTGGTTGCTGTGTATCCACTCCGAAACTGGGTATTGCTAGTCTTTTCAACTTTAGCCATTGTGTTGTGAGTGTACTAGTTTTTCACTGTGGTTTTAATTTGCATTTCCATGTTGATGATGAATGATGTTGAGCAGCTTCTGTGTGCATATTGACCATTTGGGTATCTTTTTTTTGTGATGTGCTTGTTAAATGTTTTGCCTATTTTGGGGGAACAGCTACTTCTTATTTATTTGTGGTTGTTACCTATTTTGGTTGCAAATTCTTTGCTAGATGTATGTATTGACTTTCTCCTAATCTGTGGCTTGCCTTTCTCCCTCTTTAATGTTTTTCAGTGAACAGCATTTCCTAATTTTGATGATGTCCAGTTTATCACTTTTTAATTTTTATGTTTAGTGATTTCTGTGTTATGCCTCAGAAATCTTTTCCAATCCCAAGGGCATGAAAATACTCTTCTTTTTTTTTGAGACAGAGTCGCACTCTGTCATCCAGGCTGGAGTACAGTGGCTCAAACTCCTGACCTCAAGTGACCTGCCTGCTTCGGCCTCCCAAAGTGCTGGGATTATAAGCATGAGCCACCGTATCCGGCCTTGTGTTTTCTTTTAAAAGCTTTATAGAAAAATAAATAGATAAATAAATAAAAATAAAAGCTTTATAGATTTAAATTCCTTATTTAAGGTCTGTGATCCATTTCAAATTGATTTTTGCATGTAATATGAGTTAGGGGTCAAAGTTTTTTTATTTTGTAGAGAAAATTAGTTGTTCTAGCGCCATTGATGAAAAGATTTTCTTTCGTCATTGAATTTGTATTGATGACTTTGGTGAACATCAGTAGACCATATATGGTGGTCTTTCTGGACTCTTTTCCTTTGATCTATTTATCTTTTATGCCAACACTACATTCATAATGTACCTTTACATAGTTAAGTCTTCCAATCTGATAGGTCAAGTCCTCCAATTACATTATTCTTGTTTAGTTCGGGTTGGCTATTCAGGTTTAAAAAAAAGCCTGCTTGCATTTTGATTGGAATTGTGTTGACTTTATAGCTCAATTTAGAAAAAACTGCCATCTTAAGCATATAGACTCTTCCAATCCCCTAGTATGGTATATTTCTCCATCATTTTATGTCTTTAATTTCTCTCAGCAACATTTTGTATTTTCATGCACATTTTCAAAAATTAAATTTATTCCTAGGTATTTGACGTGTTTTAATGCTGCTATAAATGAGTTTTAAAAATATTTGTTTTTCAAATATTTGTTTCTAATGTATGGAATTACAGTAGATATTTGACCTTGTATTCAAATTCACTTATTCTAGTAGTTTGTAGATTTCTTTCACTTTTTTATGCCTGTAATCATAGAAGCATTCTATGCTTCTGCAGATAAAGCATTTTTCAGTGTTAAAAGTTGTACTGACTTCTTTTTTTGGAGTTTCCATCTTCTCGTTTTGTCTTCTTTTGGTGTCAAGTGCTAACAACAGCACCACTTGGAAATATGACAGGACTGCAGCCAGTGTGGATAATTATCATTTTCAACTACAGATCTCTGTCAGCCTTGTCTGCTTATCACACGGGCTTGATCGCGCCCATGAAGATCCGCACAGAGGCCCCTGGGAACCTTCGTTTATACAGTGGGAGCCCCACCCGCAGTGAGAAAGAGCAGGTCTCCATCAGCTCCTTCTACTACAAGGAGCGGGTAAGTGCTAGAGCCAAGGCCTTTGATTCTTACCCCGTCTCCTGGATTCTTGTTCATCATCTCCTGCCTGGCCCAGCAGCTAGATTAGTAAACCCCCTGTAGTCTTCCACTTTCATAATCAGCTTGTTCAAGAAGGTCATTGCCTTGCTCCTTTTACTTGGTTTTAACTGCTGTAAATTGCGTATGTATGGAGGGGTGCGTGGTTCTTATGGCCCATAGTCTTTACTGCCCATTTGACCCTGTTCTCGCAATCTCCATTCACTGAGTTGGTTCCCATTATTTCAGGGTAGAATACCTTAGCTTCACATCTTCCATGGTTTTCTGACGTTTGTCAGGAAATTAAGGGATGCCTCTGAAGTTTTGGAATCTTAATGTATTTGGGACTTCATAGTTGTAAGAAGTCTTTTTTTTTTTTTTCTTTTTTTTTTTTTTGAGATGGAGTTTTGCTCTTGTTACCCAGGCTGGAGTGCAATGGTGCAATCTCGGCTCACCGCAACCTCCGTCTCCTGGGCTCAGGCAATTCTCCTGCCTCAACCTCCTGAGTAGCTAGGATTACAGGCACGTACCACCATGCCCAGCTAATTTTTTGTATTTTTAGTAGAGACGGGGTTTCACCATGTTGACCAGGATGATCTTGATCTCTTGACCTCGTGATCCACCCGCCTTGGCCTCCCAAAGTGCTGGGATTACAGGGTTGAGCCACCGCGCCCGGCCAAGAAGTCTTAAAGTTGATGTCTAAAAGATTGGATTGGTTTTTTTTGTTGTTGTTCTTTTTTTCACTAAGCCTACATGGAAATACCCATTTGAGTGGACCAGATGAGACAAAAATTACCTGAGCTTGTCCTTATGTGCCTAGTTTCTCAAAGAACTCATTGTCCCTAAAGTAGTTATCATTAAGCTGTCAGAAACCTTTGGTGCCAACAGTGTAGAGAATGTTGGCAGAGCACAGGAATGATCCCAAGAAAGCTTTCTGTGTTGACAGATTGCAAGTCTGGCTTAAACAGACTTTTAGCTGACATGTTTTAAACAGAGTTACCACTGAGCACTGCACAAACTTAGGAATTCTTTGTTGTTATCTCTCGCTCCATGAGAAATAATGGATTGTAATTGATACTTGTTTTTTAAAAATTGGATTATTTTAGACCAGACACCCATTTCTAGGAAGTATTAGTAGTGTCTCCAGTTCAATTTCAGTAGAATGTCTAACTTTATAAGTTTACACTGATAGTTGACTATCTCTGACTTTATTTTAGGGTTGTATGTAACTAAAATGAGTGGCAGCAACTGATGTTTGAGACCAAACCAGTCTTGAGCAAAACCATTTAGTCAAATAGGGAAAATGATTTATTTATTTATTTATTTTTTTTGGCTTTTCGGGACACTTTCCTATAGTCCCCTTCCTCACATCTCTGATGGAATTCTGCCCACTTGGCTATTACAGACCTCCCTGGAACACCCGATTACTAATCTATATCATCTGCAAGTCCTTTCCATGCAAAATTGTTAGTTCTTTTTTTCCACATGCTCCCAGGTAATTAGACAGATGATTTGATAAACAGGTTGGAACTAAGACTTTTTGTTGAGATGAAAGCCATGTTCATGGTTCACGGATGGGTAAATGTGGGGATTTTCTTGAGTGTCAGGCCCAGAGATCAAGGAGAGCTTTCAGTCCAAGAGGCAGTTCTGAATTCCTCTTTGATTCATGTCATGTGCCACCCATATTTGGGTTCAGATTGGGCAGAATAGACTAATTTTGGCTTTGTGGAGGTGTGTAAATCCCACTCTAATCAAAATAACTCCATTTCCAAGATGAGGCCTCTTTTTAAGCCTGTGTTCATGTTTTTCATGGTATGGCCGTTTTTTTTTTTTTTTTTAAACTACAAACACCATAATTATAAAGAGGAACCAAGAGTATGTGGATAATTCTCTCATCAGATAGGATCTGCAGGGGAGTGGAGGAAGAGTTGTGATATTTTAGTTCGGGGTGGTTCCCACTGCACTGTTCTGCAGAGAAAGTGGGCTGTTCAAGCCCCCTAACAGACACAGTAAGTGGCCTTTTATGTTTTATTTCAAATAACGACCAAATAAAACGGGGTGATGCTTTGATTATAATTATGTGAAACTCTTATATTGATGGATACCACATAAAGAAAAGTTCACAAATCAGTGAATTAATAATCACACAGGTCAAGAAATAGAACATTTAAAAAACCTCAGAAACCTCGGCATATTAGCTTAACTCATACGAAATTGCTGATATTTGACCATTTTTGACCTAAACAAAGATTCATGTGGTTCAACTTAATAGACTAACAAGATAAAAATGAGTAGTCAGTCCTTTTGTGATGAATTTGATATAAATTTCTCTCTCCTTGAAGTTTTTTCATGTCCATCGCATTTGTGTAGGGGTCAAGGTGGGAATTACATAAGTGGAATATGGCCATGATATCTTTTTTTTTTTTTTTTTTTTGAGCCAGAGTCTTGCTCTGTTGCCCAGGCTGGAGTGCAGTGGCACAATCTGGACTCACTGCAACCTTCAGCCTCCTGAGTTCAAGTGATTCTCCTGCCTAAGCCTCTCGAATAGCTGGGATTACAGGCGCCTGCTACCATGCCTGCTAATTTTTGTATTTTTTAGTAGAGACAGGGTTTTACTGTGTTGATCAGGCTGGTCTTGAACTCCTGACCTCGAGATCCGCCCGCCTCAGCCTCCCAAAGTGCTGGAATTACAGGCTTGAGCCACTGTGCCCGGCCAGCTGTGATATATTATGTGAGCTACCTTGCCTTCCTTACAGAGGTTGATACCTCTTGGGGTGCATTTTCTAATCCCCAGCTGTCTAGTTTCACATGTCAAATGATGTCACTTTTGTTGCTTTTTTTACTGAAATGATTCCAATCTACTAACTTCCTGTTTGTGTTTTTAGGTTTTGGATTTTTTTTTTTTTCCTAATAAGAGATGGGGCCTTTCCCTGTTGCCCAGGCTGGAGTGCAGTGGTGTGAACATGTTTACTGCAACCTCAGTCTCCTGGGCTCAAATGATCCCCCTCCTCAGCCTCCTGAGTAGTTGGAACTACAGGAGTACACCACATCGCCCAGTTAATTAAAAACAAGTATTTTTGTAGAGCCGGGTTCCCAGTATGTTGCCCATGCTGGATTTCTCTGTGTTTAGGTCTTCATTTTTAGCCCAAATTTTTCTCCTACATGTTTTTATTCCCTTTTAGATCTCTGCCCTTGAGAGCTTTAAATAAGTGAGAATAAGACATAGCAATGAGGGAAGTATTGTGAGGTTTTTTTTAGTTTTGGGGGTTTTTTTTTGGTCTGTTTTTTTTGTAGAGGTGAGGTCTGGCTATGTAGCCCAGGCTGGTGTCAAGCTCCTGGGCTCTAGCAAGTCTCCCAGCTCAGCCTCCTAAAGTGCTGGGATTATTGGCATGAGCCGCCTCACCCAGCCAGTATTGTTGGTTTTTTTGACACAGAGTTTTGCCCTTGTTGCCCAGGCTGGCGTGCAGTGGTGTGATCTTGGCTTACTGCAACCTCTACCTCCCGGGTTCAAGAGATTGTCCTGCCGCAGCCTTCCGTGTAGCTGGGATTACAGCCCCCTCCCCACCAACACCCAGCTAATTTTTTCTATTTTTGATAGAGATGGGGTTTCACCATGTTGGCCAAACTGGTCTCGAACATCTGACCTCAGGTGATCCAGCCGCCTCGGCCTCCCAAAGTGCTAAGATTACAGGTGTGTGCCACTGCTGCCAGCCCAGTATAGTATATTTTTGAGATATCAAAACATCTTTATAGAGCCATTTAGAGATTATTGTTTGTTTCTCTCATGGCTTTGTGTGTTTTTACCTGCCCCACTTAGGTTATATTGTTATATTCGCCCAAATATTCTCTAGATGGAATTCCAAGGTTTGCTCCTAAAAATTTAAAAATGTGAGGTGCCTAAAAAAACCATCAAATTGCTAACGTTCATTTGACAAGTGGACCAACTCTTAGTGCTGATAAAATGTTCATTCCTAGGATAAATCAGAAGGCACAGAACTTAGGATAAGCATTAGGTATTGCCTTGCATACATTTAAACCTTTTTGCAAACTCCCACCCTTGCTTTAGTTTATGTTACTAAAATAGCTCTGATGTAAATAACTAGAATCATCTTTAGGTTAATAGAATAATTTCTGATCTCCATAAACAGATACTCATATTGTTAGCAAGCGTGCTTTCAGGAAGGTCCCTCCTCAGCAGTAGCCCCTTGCGTCCCCTCGTTTTTCCAGGGCTCCCACAGCCCATGGCATCACTCTGAAGATAGTCCTGCAGGCCCAACGTCAAGACACCCAATCCCCTCATTGCCCCCACCACATACCAGAAAACATTTGGTATTGAGCCTATTCAAGAACGTCTTCCTTTTAGGAATGAGAATGTGCTGTTCTCCTTACCTACTACAAGGGAAAACAGGCTTCTGCCTGTTTCTCCGCTTGCACAGTGATCTTAGTGCGTATTAGTGTTACTCAAACCTATTTGTAGTTCCTTTGTCAGAATTATGTTAATGTCAGCCTCCATATACCTTGAAATGTGACTGAAAGAACAATGAAATTGAAGCTGTGTTTGGAGTGTGTTGGGTGGGAGGGAGGTGAGGGAATCTGAATACTGCTGTGCTTAGGTCCATATTTTTTAGTCATTTCAATCCCGACTTTACAGTGTATTATGGTACATTTGAATCCATCGGATGTATAGGAAGCTTTCACTTTATTCTATATTTTTCCCTTTTAATTTTCTTGGTGTTTTTCTTCCCTCCTCCTGGGTGTAACGTTTTCATGCACAGATGTCTCCTCGCTCTGCCCGGCGGCGTTGGTCCATACAAGCAATTAACGACTTCCCGGTACTGTGCGCTGTGCAAATGCTCTCCTTAACTAATCCTGTCTCTACCCAAGGCCCAAGAATAAAATGCCACCTGCCTGGCTTTGAGGAACCTGAAATGACAGGCTAGCTGTTTTCAGGACCAGCAACAGTCAATTTTTGCTTGGGGAAGTTCAGGCACCCAGGGCTGCCTCCTTGTCCAGTCACACAGTTTCAAGTGGCTAACATTGTCAGCAATCCTGAATGGATTCTTTTTGCAAAGGAAACTTAATACTGCATTTCTTGGAAAGAACCCTAATTGTAAGCCGTTAGCTCACCCAATTTCACTTGGAGCATTTGTGTAATTTTTTGGAGCTTTCAAAAGCCCACCTTTGGCATGGGGGCAGCAGAGGAAGATATAAGAGGCTTACACTGTTTTGTCTCTGCTTTTATAGTCATGGTCTAGTTCACAGAGGGAGGTGCCCACCTGCTTCATTGGCATAACACGGTATCTAGTTTTTATCCTTTGGGAAGTTTCTGGAACAAATTTTTTCCTTACCATCACTATTTTGTGTAGACTGTAAAACCTCTGCTGTGGACATCCTCTCTTCCTTTTCTTTCTTTCTTACTCACTTCTGTTGGCCATTTCCCCTCTTCTGTCTTCCTCTCCCATCCCCTTCATGTTTCAGTAGTGCCAAGGTGACCTCATGCTGTGCATGGCAGCCTTGAGGCTTTGTATAAATTTCATTTGGTATAAAGAATTTTCAGGGGAATCGTCTTATAGCCTTGTTGTGGAAAACCAGTTGGAATCAGAAGACCCAATTAGCAAGTACCACTGCTGCCAACAGCTTGTAGGTGGAGCCTCCAATGGGGCCACCTTCCAAAAGCCTGCCCCAGCCAACCCGACTGCCGAATTCCCACTGATTGTCCAGAAGTCCCTGCTCCCGCTGCTATTGCAATAGGGACTCATTTAGGCTCCCTGCCCACACTGCAGATTATGCATTGCTAATGGGGTTTCTACGAAGCAGTTGGTGGCTTATTCTTGGGCTGTTCTTACATTCAACCCATTTATTGGCATCAATGTTGCCTCTGATTGTAGCAGTAACACTGGTGGTACAGTCTCAAGCTGGCTATTGGTTGTCATTCAGTGCTATTTGCACCAATGCCTCCCTCCTGCCCCCCAACCCCCACCCCACTCCTTTCTTCCTTGTCCTCTTTGCCATAACTCCATGAACACCTTCTTGGTTTGTTCAGAGGGGCAGCCTGGTGCTCATCATGTAATAATTTGTCTGTCTCACTTTGTCTCTCTTCCCTCAATTTCTTCTCATGAAATTTGTAGGGACAGAACATTTGCTATTGATGGAGCATTGAACAGATCAAGTCCTTTGCCTCCCAGAGGTGTTAACTTGACTGCATAGAGAAGTACCCATTTTTAAGCCCATGACAGTGGTACTGGAGCGATGCAGGAGGTTCAGGGGCTTTTAGGCCATGGTGCCCTTCCCCAACGCAGAAAGATTAACCACACCTTAGCTGCACATGTCAGTATGCTCTGGAACCAGAGGATCCTAAAAGAAATCTGTATGTTATTACCTGTCAGTTGTACAGACAAGAGAGATTCCTAAAATTGCCAGCAAGATACTAGGAGGAAAATTGCTTAGGAGAGGTGTGGATGGAACGAGTGGTTCTTATTGCCAGGGCACTGGGGAAAATACCCTGAAAAGGTGTCCATCTACTCATTAGGTAGCAGCAGGGGCCTAAGACCCCAGCTAGTAGCTATTCTGATTTGAGATTTAGCCTCTCCATTTAGACAGCCTTGTTACATGAGAATTACCAGAGTAATTGGCCAATAGGCAAGATTACCAACTAACCCCTGAAGCCTGAAGGGGAGATATTTATGTTTAAAAACCACTAACCAACACATTTAAAAAAAAAAAAGGCAGTGACAGTATTTTGCAGCCCCTTAAAGATTTTTGACAGTGTTTCGCAGTTACTTCTTGCTAGATTTAAAAGATGTACAGCACTGTCCCATAATTGGTTTTACAGTTTGGCTCCTGGTAGCAGGTCTAATTAGGGTGATCCCCTGCTAGGGAACCTCCTTCTATGGCAAGCTTACAGGCAGCTGAGAGAGGTTTCATAAAGCACCTCGTATTTATCCAGTACGGATCAAACAGAAATACATAGAAGCCTGGTGTCTCAAGAAGTCCCAACAAATAGACTGTGATTTTCATAATTCAATGAAGGGTCATTGCAAAAAGTTGCAAAGAACACCCTCTATATTTTCATTAAGTATTGGTGGGTCACGTAGGTTTGTTTCCACTGATCTTTGTAACCCAGAGCTGCAAATGGGGGAAAAGTCCTTAAGACACCTCTTCGGACTCTT